GACGCGGGAGGCGCAGTCCTCCTTGGTCTCCCCTTCCCGCTGGGGGGCTGTCGACGCTGACGTTGAAGATTACGCCTCCACGGAAGGGGGGAAAGGAGGTTGTTCGACAGCGATTTCGGCGACAGTCTCCGTAGAGCCCTAGGACTCGGAGTCTGGATTCTCCTCCAGGATGGTTTGGAGGGACGCTTCGGGGCGTCGGTCGACGTGTAGCATGTTGACAGTCGGCGAGACCTGGTCAGTGATCTGGTCGGCGAGAGGATGGACATCTCCAACCTGGTCGGCGAATTTGCCCCTTAGGGCATCTTGATAAGTGGCGGCAATGTTGGTGAACCCAAAGGGTAGGGCAGCAACCCTTGGAGTTTCCTCCGATAGATTTGAACCGGAGGGTGGTCGGCGCTGAACCAGAGTGGTCAGAGCCGATTCCATGATGGAGAGGCAATCGGTGAGCTTCTGGCCAACCTGATCGATGGATGAGATCAGATCATCATTGTTCATTTGCCTCCTCTGGTAGCGGGGAAGCGGGCTACGAATTGTCGGCGAAGATGACCTCGGAGGTGGTTTTGAGATTGGATCTGCAGTCATAGGTGTTGGGGTGATCGGCGCAGTATTGATCTGACCGGCTCGATGAGCTCTCCGACTCCGTCAGCGTTGATGATCCACGAGATCGATCCGACCATGAAGATCTGGCCAGGCTGTGGAAGGGACGAAGAGCCTGCAAAACGTACCATCTTATTCGACATGGAAACAACACGCACACCCCTACCTGGCGCGCCAACTGTCGATAGAATATCGTTGGTAGTCCTCCGAGGGGTATCCCACGAAGGTAGATTGATCGGCAGAGATGCGTGTAATCGAGAACAAGAAGGCAACAGAGACACACGAGTTAGACAGGTTTAGACCGTCAGTATGATGTAATACCCTACTCCTGTGGTCTGTTGGATTGTATTGGCTATCGTATGATATTACGTGTGTTTGGAGGGAATCCCTGCCCACCTTATATAGTTCGGAGGCAGGGTTACAAGTCGGTTAGATCTAGGAGATAACCGGAAAGTAATAATAGATTATAAGAATCATGAGATCATACGTATCCTAACAGATCTCGTAGTATCTTTAGTATATCTTCCTGGTGTCTTGCGGGATGCGCCGAGCAGCGCCGTGCCCCGCAAGGCTTCATCTTATGGTCTGGGCCGCCCCTGGGGGCGCGGCCCATGTGGTCTGCTGTGGGTATCCGGGGTCGTACCCCCCACACCGATCGATACAGTAAGTACGCAAAGTACGGTAATCAGAGAGTAGTGCAAGGTTCGCATGCGGACGAGGGTTCCGGAGGCAACTGCTCTCCTGTTACTCCATGCGCGCAGAGGTATGGGACGGGGAAAACCAAAGGACAGCTGAGATGTGGTCTTTCGAAAGCGAAGGGAAGATTAGACTGACGAAGGACTTCTACTTTTATGCCTGCGGCGGGGATGGAGAAAGCCAGCCAGCGGAGTTCTGGAGACGGAGACACGAAGAGACGGTAACTGGCGCAATCAACTCGCCTCCACCATAAAAGAGAGAAACTCCCGTAATTATGTGGATTAAGTAGCAAAACCTGGCCACGCCCGCCCGTCCGCTCGCCGCCTGCCACGCCCACGGCCGGCGGCAGCTGCGCGTGTGCGTGTGGCACTTATGTGTCCTTTTCTCAGCTTCTCAATTAAGATGGATAATTTTCAACCAAATAAGCTGAGTCAACGTTCAGTCAAAATCTCATACGGTATTAAACCATACAACGTTTAATGTTACGGACTATAGAGTTTTATTTGATTTATTAAATATTATATGGGCCAAGCCCATAATATATCTAACAGTCGGTGCGGGGGAGAGGGTGAGGTCGTGCCATGGGTGCGCGAAGGAGCGCAGGGTCTCTGGGTACCTGGCGCACTCCTCGTGCGGGTTGAACTCGCAGAGGCGGTGGTGGCAGCTGTAGCCGCTGCCGGTGAGCTTCTCCCCGCACAGGGCGCACTGGCGTGGCAGGTGGTACTCCCTCAGCTTCAGCTCGTGCTTGGGATGCGAGAAGTGGGCTGCCGGCATGGACATGGCGTGGAGGAGTATGCGGAGTGTTGCTCGCTCGCTTTGATAGATAGATAGGCTGCTCAATGGACGATGCTCGTACTTGGCTAGTACGGAGTGTACTATTGTCTTCTTATATAGGCAAGTGAGCTGCGAAGACTTGTCAAAATTGTTGTCGTAAAAAGACTAACAAACGGAATGTCATGCTAGCCTGCGTAAAAAACCTCGTTGGTGCGAGCGAGTTGTGCATACTAAGTAAAAATGTTATTACTAATATTAGGAAATCCATGTTTAATACCCCTTTAGTTATCAAAATTATTTATTTTTACAGTCTCTATTTATTTTGTTACAACACAATATTCATATAGATACTCGGTAGTCTCTATCCAGTATCCACTTGACAAACTTGCTAATTTGCCTATATGTTTTGTCCATCCTTATCCATAATTTTTCCCTCAATGAGGCACTGCATGAGTCTTTAACATATTAATTGAAACATTAGCTTAAATTACCCTGGATCTTGTTGCAGCACATGTCTTATGACATCATGAGCCTAGACTGTCTTTCAATTTTTGACGTCTTTCAAAAAAAATTATACAAATTTATCTAGAATGAATTTTTTTAATTTGTTCGGAACAAACTTCTCAACCTAATTTTTTTCATACTACATAGAAGAAAAATAGATAGTTTATTACCCCCTCGGTCTCCTAAATAAACCAATTCCTAAAGTTGTCTATAGTAAGAAAAATGAAACATAACTAGATATATAGAAATGAGTGTGAAGAGAATTAGATACCAAACTAGTATCATCAGATACATCATAAATTATATTTTCATAATATGCTCATCTGATGTCATAAATATCTGTCATTGGTCAAACATAAAAAAATAAGACAATTCTAGAAATTACTTTTTCTAGGGACAGAGATGGTATAAAAAATTTCATAAAAAATAAAAAAGAGTGAGAAAACAGAATAAACCTGTCGGAGGCCATCGAATAATTTGGTCTGGGACGTGGGGCGGGAAGACTGTCAAGTTCTCGTCAACACGTGGAAAATACACGCGTATGGCGACGTATGTACATGCCCAAGGAGACAAGTCTTTGCTACAGTAACAGAATCCTTGCGTGTAGTACTATTCAATCCAATGGGTGGATTCCTGGAATTAGTACTGGAATACCGTGGTCGGCAATGCAATGAGGTGTTAGGAAGACGCGCAGAGCTAACGACGAGACGTTGGAGACCAGCTCTCCAAGCGTCTTGTCCTACTTCAGCTCACTCAGGTCAGGTCAGGGATCGAGGAGCCATCTCGGGTGTCCGTAGAAGATTCACATTCACTCAATCAATCGTGTGCCAAAGCGAAAGAAGGCCACACATATGTATGTATACACGTTGCCATTCGGTCAACGACGCATTTTTTTGGTTTATTTATACACGTGAAATAATAGAACAGTAAGAAGTTTATACCGTTCAATCTAATCCCTCCAATAGGTGAAATAACCAATGTGATTTTACATCTTTTCTATCAAAAAGTATTTGATAAAGTGACAGGAGAAGTATCCTGGAATACACATATACCCGATGGGGTCATGAAGTAATTATAGCAATCAAGAAGAATGATTCATTTACATTCGAAGGTGAGACTGTTATTAGTCTATTAGATGAAATCGATCTAGATGGGGATTTAGCTTGCTTATTATCTTCAGAAGACTATGGCTGCTTGACGGCTTGTCACGCAGAAAAGGCGATATTACTACACAAAGATGGGTGTGCATCGGTCTGGAGATACAAGGATTTGTAATAAGATTTGTCGTCTCCAAGGTAGGTCCCCGTAGTACCTGTTTCCTTACTGGAGAGCTCAACCATATAGCCGGCGGTATAAGCTAGATGGGATTTACCGCCGTCGATCAGTTCCCATAATATAGGGGTGGGTCTCTATATCCCCCACCATGAAGACACTTGGTGTAACCTGATTTTGAGCCTGTTTGGTTTCAAGCTCCTAAAATTTTAGGAGCTAAAAGTTATAGGAGCTTTTATGAGACTACCAAAACATTCTAAAAGAGTGTTCGGTTCCATCTTCTAAAACTGACTAAAAGTAATAAATGCACTAGCAAATAGACTATGCAGCCCTCCTCTTTACCCCTGCTCCTTCTCTGCTCCCATCGTGGACCTCGCTCTCCTCCTCCTCGCCATCTCCGCGGAGGTGGCCATCTCGACGGACGGGAGCGTGAGCAGCTCCACCACGCACCGCCACCTCGTCTTGGTCGTGGCCTTCCCCCTGCCCGTCGGGGAGCACGGGCGGCGGAGCACGGGTGGCGGCGGGGGTTGGCGGATCCGGCGGCGCGAGGGTCGAGGACGGGGAATGGCGGGAGGAGGTCAGAGGGGTGGCGCCGACTTGGGCCCCATGGCGGCGGGGAAGACGGAGGGTACATGGAGGCGAGCAGCGCCGCCGCCATCTCCAGGTCCAGCGCGAAGGAGCGGCGGACCGGTTTGGGGCCGACGGATCCGGCGAGGTGAGGCCGGAGGCGTGGGCAGGTGGGGCGCGGGAGACGGATCCGGCGGGCGCCACGCGGGAGAGGAGATCCGGCTTGCACATGTCGATGACGCATGGGTCCGCGCCATGTCATGGCAGCCCCGGCCGCCGTTCCGTCTCCCCATGCGCCCACCGCACCCACCCGATCGGCGACCGAGCTGGCCCCCTCTCCGTCTTCCCAATGCAAGATACTAGTAGGAGATACTCCGTATAGGATCGGAGGTAGCCCCTCTCCCTCGGCGCCCAGCTAGTACTAGTACTAGTACTAGGTGCAGTTGTACTGCCACTACCGCTAGTGGGAACTGGGAACACAAGAACGAGTGTGATCAGATCGGTGACCACTGACCAGAGCTATTAGCACTTTAGTAGAGCTCGCCGCAGCTTGCAGCTGGCCGCTGGTTGCCTGGGCGCCGCCGCATGCCATGGGGGTGCCTTCCTTCTACAAGTGGCTCGTGGGCAAGTACCCAAACATCGTCGTCCCCGCCAAGGAAGACGACGAAGCTGGCGCCGGCACGTCGTCGCCGCCGTCGCCGGGGGACGAACAAGCCCAAGCCGGCCGCCCCAATGGCGTCTACCACAACCTGTACCTCGACATGAACGGCATCATCCACCCCTGCTTCCACCCGGAGGACTGTTGGCCCACAGTTAGCCTCCCAGACCACTACTCCTACACCACTAGTCTCCCAGACCACTCTGTTGGTCTCACAGGATCACCGGCTCACAATAGTGAACCACTCCAGCCGATCTTGCCGAGCACCGGCTCAGGCGAGTGGAGCACTTGACGGTCTCGCCGAGCACGCGCTAGTATTGCCGAGCACACACTAGCCGTGCAGACCACGTACCGGCGTTGTCCGTACCCACACACTACGGATCGAGCTAGAAGAAGGGAGAACAGAGCAAGCACGCACAATACAAGACAACAACGTTGGCCGAGGCCCTGTCTGTGTGATGGCAAATCTGAGCTCTCTTTACTGAGTTGCCATAAATGTCTATTTATACAACTCTAACTATTTAGTCCATGTGCAGCGCCCATGCTGGCACAGTAACTAGATAACCGGATGTGGCTGACTCACACGGCCCGCCACGCCTATTCCTCTGATCTTTGTGAGGTGAGCTGTAGGCGCCGCAGACCGCAGCTGCCATCAGATACTGGTTAGGGGCAAAGTCGGCGCCGCCTTCCCTTGCTGTGTTCACACACAGCAGGCAGCTAAGTCGACGCCACCTTCCTCTGCTGTGTTCACACAAGGTGGTAGTAGATTAGCTAACAATCTTTCCCTAATCCTACTGCTAACCCTTGTACCCCCTCCATGCCGATCATCTCCTTCAGCTCCATGAGTCGAAGTCATCCGAGCGGCTTGGTGAGGACGTCCGCGAGCTGCCGAGCAGTTTCGACGAACTCGATGACGATCTGCCCTCCATCAACACGGTCCTTGAGGAAGTGGAACTTCACGTCGATGTGTTTACTCGGCCGTAGAACCGGATTCTTCGCGAGGGCGATGGCGGGCTGGTTGTCCACCATCGTCTGCTGGTGGGTGAGCTTCGCCGGTTAGCTCGCCCAGCAGCCCGGTGTAGCCACACAACTTGGCACGCCATTTGTGGCCGCCGCCACGTACATTTCGCCGCCGCACGTAGATAGCGCCACCACCTTCGCTTTCGGCGACAACCATGAAATTGGGGCTGACCCGAGGAAGACGAAGTACGCCAAAGGTGCTCCGCCGTCGTCCGTCGATGTCCCCGCCATGTCCGCATCGCTGAACACCGTGAGTCGCAGCCTACTTCCCCGGTCTTTGGGAAGATGATTCCATGATTCACCGCCCCTTGACGAAGCGTAGTAGCCGCTTCACCGCAGCCTGATGATCCTCTCTCGGGATCCTCCATGAAGCGATCGACGTAGCCCACGGCGTAACGCAATGTCCGCCTTGTGTGGACTAGGTAGCGCAGACCGCCGACGATGCTCGGTAGAGTGTTGCATCTACTTTCGCCGCGGTGTTGCCGCCCTTCGCCGCCTTCAGCCGCTCCTCCATCGTAGAGTCACGCATGGCTTGCACTCCACCATGCCGCTCCTCTCCAACAGCTTGGAGGCATATGCGCTTTGCCCAAGCGTGAGTTCCTCCTTCCCCTGTCTCACCTTGATGCCGAGGTAGTAGGAGAGAGCGCCGAGATCGCTCATTCAAAAACGAGCTGCCATCTCTCGCTTGAAGCTGTTGATATCCTCCGTGCGCGCGCCGGTGATGATTAAGTCATCTACATACACGCCGACCACGAGTTCTTCCTTCCCCCGTCGTCGCGTGTAGAGCGCGTGCTCGGTTGCGCACCTCTGAAACCCAAGCTCGCCCAGCGTGGTGTCAAGCTTGGCGTTCCATGCTCGAGGGCTTGCCTCGGCCCAGAGCGCTTTATATGATCGGAGCACCCCTGTGCTCCTCTCCCTTGACAGCGAACCCTGGAGGTTGCCTGACGAAGACCGTTTCCACCAGCTCGCCGTTGAGGAAGGCCGATTTAACGTCCAAGTGATGGACGCGCCAGTCCTTTGCTGCCGCCAAAGCAAGTAGCAAACGGACCGACTCCATGCACGCTACTGGTGCAAAGACCTCCTCGAAGTCGATGCCCTCACGCTGGACAAAGCCTCGGGCGACAAGGCGCGCCTTGTACTTGACAATGGCGCCGAGCTCGTCCCTTTTGACTTTGTACACCCACTTCAGGCTGATCGGACGGCATCCTGGAGGTGGTTCGACGAGCTGCCAAGTCTCGTTTTCCTCGATCGCCTTCATCTCCTCCAACATCGCCCGTCGCCAGTTTCCATTGCGCTCGGCTAGCGCGAACATGGGTGGTTCCTCTGCACTGACGAGTAGCAGCTCTGCGTCGTTGAGCAGCCTACCCGCCAGACCTGAGGGACCTATGCCGCCGACGATGTCGTCCAGCCTGTGGAACCTCAACTCCTCACCTTCGTAGTAGGCGTCCACAAACTCAGTGATGTCACTTGGAGATGAGGTGAACTTGATCGGGGGTGATGAAGTTCCTTCTTCCGCCGGAGTGCCCTGCATAGCACCCGAAGTGCTCGGCACTGCTTCTGGATTGCTCGTCATAACTCCTGCAGTGTTCGGCCACACTGTAGGAGTGCCCAGCCTCAGTCTTGGAGTGGTCGGAACCATAGTAAGACGTCTTGGCTCCGCCACGGGAGTGCTCGGCACCCGTCCTGAAGTGGTCGCCACCACTGCAGAACCTCCTGGCTCCACTCCTGCCGTGCTCGGCATCCCTCCAGAAGTGCTCGACACTCTTCCCGGAGTGCTCGGCATCCCTCCTGAAGTGCTCGGCACTACCCCAGAAGTGCTCGACTCTACCGCCGGAGTGCTCGGCGCTCCTCTCGGAGTGCATGGCACCTATTCCGTAGCGTCTCCACCGCCGTGGATGACCAAGTGCTCGACGACGAAGGTGTTGGTGAAGCCTCCCGCTTCCCCCGTGCTCGGACTGTGCCAGTCCCATGCTGCCTCCTCGTTGAACACAACGTCGCGCGAGACAGTCACCTTGTCTCCACGTGGGTCATAGAGCCGGTACGCCTTGGTACCCTCCGCGTAGCCCAGGAACACCATGGGTGTGCTCCTGTCCTCCAGCTTGGTGAGGTTCGGCTTTGTCTTCCTGACATGGTCGATGCAACCGAATGTCCGAAGGAATGACACGTTCGACTTGCTCCCATACCAAGCTTCGAACGACGTCTTGCCCGTTAGGGCTTTGGTTGGAGCGCGGTTGAGGATGAACACCGCCGTGGTCACCGCCTCTCCCCAGAACTTTGCCGGCATCCCTTTGGCCTTCATCATGGATCGGGCCATGCCGACCACTGTCTGGTTCCGTCGCTCCACCACGCCATTCTGTTGTGGCGAGTACGGCGCGGTGTGATGTTGCCCCACACCTTGATCCGCACAGTACGTAGCAAACTCCACCGAAGTGAATTCGCCACCCCGATCAGTCCTCAGTACGCGGAGCTTCTTGCCGCTCTTGGCCTCCGCGCGTGTCTTGAACTTCTTGATCGCCACCGCTGCTTCGTCCTTGCTCGTTAGGAGTTGCAACCACATGTAGCGACTGCAATCATCCACGAGTAGGAGGAAGTACCACCGACCACCGCATGTAGCAGGCGTGATCGGCCCGCAGAGGTCACCGTGAACTAGCTCGAGAGCTTCCTTCGCGCGATACTTGGCCGCCTTTGGGAAAGGTAGCCTCCTCTGCTTCCTGGCCAGGCAGCTGTCACATAGCTCGCCTCCGTGTTTGATGTGGGGTAGCCCTCGGACCATCTTCCCCAGTCGACCAAGCGCGTCGAAGCTGAGATGTCCGAACCGGGCATGCCACATCCACGGTTCCTCGGAGTGCCTTGCCGCCGGGCAAACCGGCTGCTCTACCTTCAGGTCAAGCAGGTACAACCGGTTCAGGGACCTCTTCACCTTGGCGAGAAGTCGCTGCTCCCGGTCTCTGATCCTCAGAATGCCGTCCTTGATCAGAACCTCGCTACCGCGCTCATCCAGCTGACCAATGCTGATGATGCTGGAACGTAGCTGCGGGATGTAGTATACATCCGTTAGCGTGTGGTGCTCCCCGTTCTGGCATCTGAACATGATGGTGCCACACCCTTGGATAGCCACCCTTGAGTCGTCACCAAACTTCACCGTACCGGTAACATCACCGTCGAGCTCGGAGGAGTCCTTAGAGCCCGTCATGTGGTTACTGGCACCAGAGTCCAGATACCACCGCTGCTCCTGGTCGACGCCCACATGCCCGAGATGAACTTGGGCGCGTGGTTCGTCGAGGTTGACGATCTTCAGGGCGTTCCTAGGTCCTTCCACCGTCGTCGCCTCTTCCCTCTCCATGGCCTCGACGTCGTGTAGTGCACAGAACGTCGCCATAAGGATAGTGGCCTCATCCTCATCATCGGCTTTCGCCAGGTGAGCCTGAGCCTTCTTTTCCTTCTTGCGATTTGGGCACTCTCGTGCCCAATGGCCCATCTTCCCGCAACACCGACAGGCATTGGAGTCGATTTGCTTCTTCTTCGAAGAAGCCCTGCCGCGATGTTTGCCGTTGCCACCGCGACTGGAGGAGGCTGCCTTCCCGGAGTTTCGCCGAGCAGCCCACTCCTCTTCCATCAGCAGGAGTTTCCCACTGTCCTTCGTTGCTGTCGCCTACCCTAGGCGCTCGTCCACCGCCCGCAGACGGCCTGTCACATCCTCAATGGTGAGGGTGGACAAGTCCAGCATCGTCTCTATGGAGAGAGCGATCTGGATGTACTTTGCCGGCACGAAGTGGAGGAACTTGGAGACCGCCTCCTCTTCGTCGATGGTGACGCCATGGCTCTTCAGCTTGCTGATGAGCGTCTGCAGGCAGAGGGAGAAGTCCTCCACCGTTTCACCATCCTTGAACTTGAGGTTTGCGTACTCCTGCTTCAGAAGCTGGGCCGTCGCCTTCTTTGCGCGGTCGGAACCGACGCGCATCGCCGCAATGGCCTCCCAAACCTCCTTAGCTGAGCTCTTCGTCCCCAAGGGTTCCCTGTACTCCACCGGTACAGCAGCGAGGATAGCCTCCAACGCTGACATGTCGTCTTCTTCCACGTCGGTGTCCTTGTCAACAGCATTCCAGAGCCGTCGGGCTCTGAGCTTGACCTTCATGGTCACCGACCACTCCATAGTTAGTGCGAGTCAGCGTCGGCCAAGTGGTGCCGCTGACCTCCCGTACCGTGCGAACAACTACCTTCGGTAGTGGCTGGGCAGCCATGACAGTGCCACTGCCATCGCCCAACTCCGAACCGCCTGTCATCGCCATCGGTTAGAATAACGACGGCGCTTGTACGGCTCTGATACCACTTGTTGGCCCACAGTTAGCCTCCCAGACCACTAGTCTCCTAAACCACTGGCCCCAGACCACTAGTCTCTCAGACCACTAGCCCCAGACCACTAGTCTCCCAGACCACTCCATTGGTCTCAGAGGATCACCGGCTCACGACAGTGAACCACTCTAGCCGATCTTGCCGAGCACCGGCTCAGGCGAGTGGAGCACTTGACGGTCTCGCCGAGCACGCGCTAGTATTGCCGAGCACATACTAGCCGTGCAGACCACGTACCGACGTTGTCCGTACCCACACACTACGGATCGAGCTAGAAGAAGAAGGGAGAACAGAGCAAGCACGCACAATACAAGACAACAACGTTGGCCGAGGCCCTGTCTGTGTGATGGCAAATCTGAGCTCTCTTTACTGAGTTGCCATACATGTCTATTTATACAACTCTAACTATCTAGTCCATGTGCAGCGTCCATGCTGGCACAGTAACTAGATAACCTGATAGGGCTGACTCTGCGCCGGCCACTGCCTGTTCCTACAGTGCTGCAGGTGAGCCGTGCGGCGCCTGCACCTGCAGCGGCTACTGTATCACAACAGGGGGTAAAGTCGGTGCCGCCTTCCCATGCTGTGTTCACACACAGCAGGCAGCTAAGTCGGCGCCGCCTTCCTCTGCTGTGTTCACACAAGGTGGCAGTAGATTAGCTAATAAGGACCAGGCATATATATGTCTGTAACGCCTGTACATGGAGAACTATGATCCAAACACAAGGCACTGCTTGTATGGATTGGTACGATGGACTAACTAAATATTTGAATATTTTCTACGTCACTGATCTTCTAATTGTTCTCTTTATTGTGCCTCTTTTACACTCTGAATATCATTACAGGATGCGGACCTCATAATGCTCGCTTTGGCATCTCATGAACTTCACTTTTCAATTTTGCGTGAGGTCTGTCAATCCATCATCGGTGCCATCTCTGGCTTCATCACACTATGATAGTTTTTGGCAAATCACATTAATTTAATTGGATTTAGCAAGTAAAGGTGTATTGAAGTTAAATTGAGATGCAGAATTTTGTAAATATTGAGTTGAAAATACTCCTTTTGTAAACTTGAACAGGATGTGTTACCTCAGAATCAGCCAGAAAATTGCATCCCTCTATCCAAAGAACTGTTCAAGACTGAAGATTCCTCAAGAAAGTGTAGAGGATGGTTCCACCGAGTAACAGAAACAACTCCTTGAGACAGGTCTCCCAAGAAACCTTAACAGGTTTGTTCCTCAAAGTCAAAGATGATAACAGGGTCTTTCCATTTTTTTTATAACACCGCTTTCTTGCAGTTTTTGAACATATGGGTTCCGAGGGAGTACCTGGAGCTTGATTTGAAGATACCGAACCCAGTTGTCAAAATGGATATCGAGAGGCTAATAGATGATTTCATATTTCTGTTTCCTGACCGGAAATGACTTCATTCCACATATTCCTTCAGTTGAGATACATGAGGTGCACTTATGCCGTCTGGTTCTAACAGCTTAAGAGCAAACAATATTGTTATTGTCACATCCTTTCACATGTTTCCCACTGCAAAAAGTGTTCTTTCCCTTAATTTATCTTGGATGTGGCAGGGTGCAATTGATCTGCTGTTGGAAGTGTACAAACAAGCATTTAACAAAATGGGGGGCTATATTGTAAGCACCGGGAAGGTACATGCAGAATCGAACTGTTCATTTCGTTGATTAGTTGTTGAGTTATATTTTGATGTATTTCTATTGCTACCAAAAACAGTTAAAAGACAAACATGCTGCATATCTTAAAGTTTCGAGGTTGGAAAAGTTTTTTCATGAACTGTCCTGGTGTGAAGAGAAAATTTTTCTTAAAAGATATGAACTGCGAGAGGTATGTTGTAAAACTTATAATCCTTGGGTCAAAGTGTACACTATTGCCAATTGGAACTTGTTGATTACATGCAGAGGTTACAGCGCAATTTAGTGCGCCGAGCTGCAGAAGAATGGAAAGAAAGAAATTATGACAATATGGTGAGGGCTATATACAGCTAAAAATTTTGTTCTGATTACTGTCAAATTCATTTTTTAATCTCAAGCTTTCTTTACTCAGGAAGAAAATCCTGATGGTCCAGACTTGACAGAAAAGTCTTTTTCAACAAACTGCAGTATTTCCACTTACAGCCAAGACGAGTCAGATGTATGGAAGAGCTTATCTATTTTTTATACTTTTATTGGATATCTGGAAATATCTTATCACTTCTCCTAAACTTGTTTTGCAAAATCCATATTATTCCTTAGGTAACTGCAAATACCTTGGAGCTGAGGCGAAACTTAAAGGATACTCTTCGTAACAAGCAAGACCTTATAAAAAGTGGAGCCTGTAAACATGATGCGGTTAGTAGCACCTATTTGAGTAAATATTTCGCATATGTGCAAAGTTTGACATGCCATTGCAGATAAGATTGGGATTTGCGGGGTGGAAATCTCGATTCTACAGGGAAATGTTTGGTGTGGAAAAATCTAATGAAGTTGGGAAGCTGAAGAATGACATGGTTATGATTTTTCCTGTTTCTGTGTGCAAATAAAATTTTAATACCTGTGGGCATTCTGAAGAGACATCATATGATGTTAACTTTCTTTGTCACTGGCTTAATTTAGGTTCAAAAGTATCTGGAAGGACTTTGTCGGGTGCTGCGGTACTATTTTGCAGATGTGCCATCATGGAGCTGGTAGGATGTACATATTTATATATGATCTGAGCTTTTATTTGTCCATGTATCTTATACATTGTACTCGTATGCTTTCATCGTCTGAAATTTGAATGATGAATAGTTAAAAAATTTGATAATCTTGATAAATAGATCGACATACTAAGTGATATGTGACTGCTAATTCTTATGGATATATATGTACTAGCAAATGTTTTCTATAATGTTTATTTTGTTTTCTGCAGGTACTACCCCTTCTATTATGCTCCTTTTGCATCTGATTTTAATGGACTATCTGACTTCAAGATATCTTTCACTGCTGATAAGCCACTAAGGCCATTTGATCAGCTCATGGCAGTTCTTCCAAAAGAAAGGCACGTGAAATATTCTCTGTTTTATAATGCACATTCTTCATAGCAATCTTTTAGTTGAAGTTTTAAGTTTATTTTCTTTTGCAGCTCATGTGCACTACCAAAGTGTTACACAGAACTGATGGAAAATGAAGAGTCTTCGATAAAAAAAATTCTACCCGTCAGGTATATTTGTCACTCTAGACTCATCATATAATCTGAATTCTGAATACCATATTACTGAACTAAACGGGGATTAATTTCTCTTACAGATCTACAGATTGATACCCATGGGAAACGTTTCTTGTGGCAAGTAAGTCATTATTCCATATATATGAATTCATAATTTAAGACTAGCTTACTCCTATTTTTATGCACATTGGCTGGGTTGTGTAGCTAAGCCATCATCTTTCAGTTCCTACATTTAAGCCCCCAGTATTAGTAGTTGTGAAAGAAAAAAGAAAGCCTTCTTCACTCATGCTAGTTTTCTCCGAAATAAATTGTTTCAGGGTATTGCAATGTTGCCATTCATTGATGAAAAGCTGCTGATTTTGGCTACCAAGACGGTGGAGGACAAACTTGCAGTAAAAGAAATTGCCTACCTTCTATGCAAATTGTCTACCAGAGTATGTTGCACGCGAGTGTTTTACATTGTTTGTATTTTGTAGGTGCATGAGATAAATAGAAACACAGTTCGACGAGATAAGATCTTCCTGAGGAACTCAAATACTATGCCAAATGATTCAGCTTTTGCGCAGACATCTGACTGTTTGGCAAAAAAGCTTCCGTTAGATCCATCTACCAGGTACAAGTCTGAACTGATACTGCGTTGATGCATTTCTTTTATTTTTGAGCAACTTAAAAGATTGTTGCTAAATCCTAAATTTCAGTCGACATAGTGAACTTGGAGGGTGGTTGTCACCTGTTGACGACGATATTATAAGCTGTGGTTTCTTACGTTCACCGATAAGAGACGATCTACAGGACATTAGGAATGACCAGACAATGTATGTTTTCTCTTGACCCTCTCATCACATTCATGCAGTACATTCCTAAGGGAAGAAGTCATCCTTTAATTTTCACTACATGTTCTTGTGTATGTTTCAGATCATTCATGTTCTCCAACCCAGAACCAGTGAAAATCATTCCAAGGCCACTTGATAATGTCAAAAAACCTGAAAAGGTATATTCAGATGTCCCTTTAGCTGCACATACCTCCGATTCATCTTCATCTCTGAAAGAAACCATGTCTTCTGCAGACTGTAACTGAAACTAAGATTCCAAAGAGGCCGCTGTGGCACACCTATCCTGGTAGCCGACCACCGCCTGAAACCATCCCAACCGTGGCAGAGCCTCAGTCGATGATCAGCGGCTTTGGACGTGGGAGAGAGAGAGCCATCACTGCAGATTCAGCGCTGGGCGGTGGCCGTGGCTACGGGAGAAGTTTTTATGGGGCTGACATGGCGCAAAGCTGAGGCTGCACATTCGGAAGCGCTTGTGCAGGAAGAGGGCAGTATGGCGGCGCGTTCCAGAGGCAGCAGACGGCATGGCGCCCTGTTGGGAATTCAGGCGGCTGTGGTGGGAGTGAACAGCACCGTGGTTGGTAACAGAAGAGATGACAGGGATGCGATGAACTAGTTTTTGGTCTCGCGCCTCACCATTTTGTCTGAAACATCAGTAATGCTATGTTCACTTCTGAAATTATCTGTGTGATACCTCGAACTAGAGGTACTTTTTGTGTTGAGACAGAATGCCTTGTTGTGTTGCTAATCTTGGGTCTGGCAGCTTGTTCCATTTCGTCCCGCTTGTATCTGACTTTTGTTAGGTGGCATCTCTTTTTTTTCCCCGTTTTTTGAATCATAGTCTACAATATTACTCTTACTTTTTAGTTCATATCATAAACTAATGGTGGGGTACGACATACAAGGTTGAGTTAGGCCTGATCGCTGGGAGGTGCCGTGGAACGCCACCTTCCAGAGCCGCACGTGTCGGAGCATGAACTTGTATGACCGCTCCATGTGGTTGAGCGGCCACCCGCCGTACTCTTTCCCCAAATCCGTCACGAACACCTGCGCCAAGCAATCCAACCAGCAAACTAATCTATCGACTTCATATTTCATCCATCCGTTATTTGTTATGGGAAAACCCCAAAATGTTCGCTGAAGAATTTGGAGCTCGATCGTCGATCGATTCTTCTTCTCGAAGAAAGAATTCCGAGAGACCTATCTTTGTTCAAGCGTCCATAGCTGCCCAAGTTTCTCTCTCTAGTTGAGAGAGCGCCCCGCTCCGCCCGTCGGTGGCCACTCCGGCCCTGACGTCCACCACGTCACGCCGGCGACCACTCCGGTCCCGGGGTCCACCAAACACATCGCCGGTCGCGCCGTCCACCGCTGCCATGGAGCACGGCTCCTGCTCCCGTAGCTCCTGGGCTGACGAGGTGGAGGAGGAAGAGGCTGCTCGGGGCGGTGCTGCGTTCCTTGGGCTGAGGCGCACGCCGAGCTGGTCCTGCGCTCGAGCTCGCTAGATCCGGGCGCGGCGCCCTACCTTGCCTCCCCTGGGGGGTCTGCTGGGAGGGTCCACTTATCCGACTCCGATGCCTCCCTCGACGACTCGGATGCGCCGCCCCCGTGCGCAACGTCGCCGCCACCGTCGGGGTGGGTTCATGGCGGACGCGCGGAGGGCGAACGTGCCTGCCGTTCCTCCGCGCCTTCGGTCCATCGTCGTCCATCCGCCATGGATGTCGGTCGCGCCTGATGCGGAAGGCTTTCGGCCGGTGCAGAGCAGGAGGCGCTGGCCGCCCCGACGCATTCCGACTGCCCTGCTGCCGAGGGCCCAGGAGCCGCCTGCCTCGCCGGGGACGCGGGCGCGCACGCGTCTGTTGGAGCTCGTCGTCGTCCCGCGGACCCCGGCGCTGCAGGCCGCGGAGGACGCCTTGTCGCTGGCCTTGCTTGCATTAGTCGTTGGCACAAGACCACTTGGTCACACCCGCCATGGGACGGGAACACCTGGCTGGGTTCTTCGGCATCACGGACGATAGTGCCACGGTTCGCCGTACAAGGCCGGACGACTTCACCGTCCGCTTCACCCGTCAGGAGGATCTCGAGCTTGTGCTGAGCACCCCACATCCGGCTAGAGCTCCCTTCGCCGTGCGCTGCGGAGGTGGAGCCGGCTGATCATGGGTCGGCCGGCGCATTCAGATTCAGGGTGCTCGTCGGTCTTAAGGGTATTCCGTCACATGCAAGGTCCAAGGACACTGCCCAGACCATCCCCGGGTCCTCGTGCACCAATGTCGACATTGCCAACCCGGAGGCGCTCGTAGACCCGGACAGCGAATGCGAGCTCTTCGTGGCGGCTTGGTGTGCGCATCCCCACCTCATCCCCGACGAGAAGACCATGGCCGTGCCGGAGCCGGAGGAGGAGCATGACGGCGGCTCGCCACTGTACTTGAGGCCGCACGAGATCATACACGACGAGGTGCCCGCGCTACGGTATCTCGTGCGTCTACGGCTCATCGAGTTCCAAGACTGGCACACGCCGCCGCCGTCGTCGGACGATGGCATGGACTTCGGCGGCGAGGACAGTGACAGCGGTGATGGCAACTTCAATGGCTATCACCCCGGTTTCGGCGGTGGCGGCGGCGGGGCTCGGCCGCGCACGACCCGGTTCGGTGGCGCCGGGGAGCCGCGGCTGGGACGCGGGTCCGGGCCGGCGTTTCGAGCGCGGGAAACGAGGTCCTCGGTCATCGTGGGCGATGTGATTTGCCCCTTGGGCGCGCCGCGCCTCGCCATACCCTGACCCCTGGAGTCCTGGGCACCGGCAGGTTTCCCGCTGGGCCTGGGACTTGTGTCGTACACGCCGTGGCTGAGCAATTTGACTTCTCTCCCCACCGCGCGTGCTCACCCTCTCCTGTCATGCAGTCCGCTCAGGACCCGATGCTCTGTGAGGCTGCTCTCTGCACTCCGCAGAAAGGCGTCTGCAACAGCGCCGAAGGCGCACACTCCATTGACCTCTAGCCCCGGGGCGGTCAGGCGTCACGTGGTGCCCCTGGCCTGGCCACGAGGAGCGCGGGGCAGACCAAGGGGGTCGTGGGCCGTGCGCTGGGCGACGACTTCGACTTACTCGTAGGCCGCGCGCCACGACCACTTGCTGGGCCAGACGATGCACAAATCATTGGCGTCGGCCCAGGACGTGGCATGGCCTCCGCTGAGGACCGGTGGCTGGGGGAGGCCGTCGACTTATGGCTCTCCGGCACAGAGGACTGCGGCTCCGGTTCCTCTGGCCCACGACGAACAGGCCAGGTGCTTGCTCTCGCCGCCGCGGGACCTCGCCCTCAACACCGGGAACGCCGACCGGTCGCCGACGTTGCTTCCCTCCTCTGGGACGTCCGAGGCGGAGGTTCACACAACGTCGATCGTGCCCCAGTCGGCCACGGAATTCGTCGACTCCCCCCGTCTGCCGCTCGAGGTGCCACTGATCAAGGCGCTGCCACACGCTCGGGTCGCAAGGAACGCTGATGACTGCTGGGCGCCGAGACGCAGTGACCGCCTCGCTGCCAAGTCCGCCTTCCGTGACCCACAGCCGGAGAGGCAGGCCAAGCGTGCCATGGTGAACAAGTGGACACGGAGGCCGGAAACCGTGGCTAGCTGCACGCCGGACGCCACGATCGCCGCCAGGTTCCACGACACCTTCACGGAGCCCCTATCCTCTTCCAAGAGGGAAGCCATGCGTGAGCTCTTCCCCGTGCGCGGTGGCCGCGTATCGCAGGCCTCGGCACGGCGGCTGTGAGCTCCGCACACAAGTCGCAATCTCGTATTCAACAAATGAGTGCTAATCACCTCCTAGTTTGGAACGCTCGAGGTCTTAACAGTCGGGCGCGTCGTAGCGTTGTTAGGGACATTGTCGTCCAGCAGCGGGCCTCTGTCGTCTGCCTGCAAGAGTCCAAGGTCGAGAACTTCTCTGTAACCATTGCGCGCTTGGCCGATTGGTGGCAGCAGACAAGAGCGGACGTCCCGGGGAGCCTCCGGCGAGTCTCCTGGATCCTATGGAAGGAGCGCAACAGGCGGACGTTCGACAACATCGCGAAGTCGCCGGCTCAGGTCTTCTCCTTGATCTGTGAGGAGGCCGACTCCTGGACCGTATCTGGGTACTGGAGCCTGGTCGCGCTGTTCGCCGCGGTGAACTAGGCCTCAGCCGGTTCTTGCTTCCTCTTCCCTCGTCGCAAAATTTGGTTTCTTAGTTAGTACGCCCTTTTAGCTCCACTGTTTGAGCCGGTGATCTTTGTAAGTGTGTGCCTTTGCGGCGCCCTCGGCACCTCGCCGTTGTTCGTTGTAAGGCTGTCTGTGTACCAACTCTAACATCTCTTAATGAAGCACGTGCCAAGCACGCTTTCGAAAAAAAAAAGTTGAGTTAGGCCTAAAGGCTTATTGTTGTGAGTTTTGATAGACCTAAGTCCGGTATTGGTTCATATGGGTATAGTGAGATAGGCTTAATCTGCTTTACACACTACAAATGGTATTCAAGCCATGATTAGAAAACCTAGAACATCTCAGCACATGGTGACACGAGAGCCTGCATGACGTCTCCAAGAGGTCATCACGTGGATTGTGTGTGATGTGAAGAGCTGGACCCAATACATGATAGGGAAAATTATTGAGAAAATTTCCAATTTATTTGATATCAGAAAAAGTACTGCTTCTTTTTTGACACTCAAACTCAAATTCTTTCCTATGTCTCAAGTTTTTCTTTCCTATTTGATACTTCTATTAGTTTAGAGTTATAACGGTGTTAAGCCCTAGAGGAAAAGACCGTTTTACCCCTGTAGTTTTTCCCCCAGTTACGTCATTCCCTGCAAGATATTGCTATCTTTTTGGTCATTTTTATTTCAAACTGTTATGTTTGTTATGTTTTCTTTTTTCTTTTGTAAAATAAAGGAACAAACATCATGTTATATAATTACTTATAATTATGTTGATTTTGATATCAATCATTTAGGTAAAATGAGATCTCCAACAACATCCAAATTCATAAGATGAACATGTAGCATGACAATAACATTTTTTTTTATAAAGTAGCATAGTTTACATAACTCGAAGATTTAGCATCTAGGTTCACAATGATACAGGTTAACATACACAAAAAAGAAATCTCATATTGGTTCACATCCATTACATGACAGATAGACATCTCTAACACATAACACACATTTAGACAATTCTCCCATACATGAATCACAAACTGAGTCTTCTTTTGCTCCTTGTGCTCAGTGCAGGACTACTAGGCTCTAGTCTTTTGCTCCTTGTGCCCATTGCAGGGCTATCAAGTTGCAACAAAAGATTTTTAAATATTTTTTTGTAGCCTTTTTATCTACTTCTTTCTTCTTCCTTTTGCCCTTGACCTTGACAACAACTTCTGGTTCATCTATGGACGTAGGAAGCTCAATTGAAAGTGGTTCAGGCTGATCTGAACCACTTCTTGA